ATTCCTGCCCCTGCCAGTGAAGCTTGCCGAGCCGTGTACCTGCGTGCCATCATGCTGACTGACCCCTCTTCCACTGCTCCCTTTCAGTCTTCAACGTGGGAGAGTATCGCCGAGAAGCCGTGAAGCATTACAGCTCCTACGACTTCTTCCGCCCCGACAATGAGGAGGCCATGAAAGTCCGGAAGTAAGTTTGCGGTTGCCTCCAGGCTGCTCTGATCACTCAACCTTAAGTGTGGGAGAAAAAACCCTGCCGACTGTGCTGGGATTGTTGTAACCAAGATCAGTGTCTGGGCCTCTTTTCCTCGATCTCCCACCCTCACTCCACATCTCCCTCTCGGGGCCTGACTTTGTAGAGGTGCTGAGCGCCTGCATCAAGCCCGTAGGAGTTCATCCTTGGAGGCTGGTACCTCTTCAGTGCACGGACATACCAGTTACTCTTGGGTGTCCGTTTGGTGAATGGAGTGCAAGTTCCTTTTAATCTGACCGAGGGCCTGTAAGAACACAACGGTGCGACTATCTGCCAAGGTCTCGAATAACCTTTACCCTTTGCAGTGCTGTTCTTGTTCGTCTTACTGCAGTTATTACTTCATACGTTCTCATATCATGCGCAAGAAGGGATTCCTCATTTTGCCAACAGGGAAACCAGAGCTCGTCAGTGCGAAGTGTCTTGCTCAAGACTGAGCAAGAAGGGACACAACGCGGGTTTGCATTCGCAGCTGTTGATTAGTAGATCAACGGATGTTGATTTTGCATGTACTAGGAATCGTAGGTGGAAGTTGAGGGACAATTAGGCCTTAGAACACCGAGTCCCTAGAGCCCGTCGGTGGCTTTCGTAAGCATCTCCGATTAATTGAGAAACTTTCTTCTTGCAGACAATGTGCCTTAGCTGCCTTGAGAGATGTCAAATCGTACCTGTCAGAGGAGGGTGGCCAGATCGCGGTAAGTTCAGAGAGGTATTGCAGTGGCCTGAAGAGTGCCATCTCCCCTGCTTCAAAATATTCCCCAGAAAGTGCAGACAGAGACAAGCTTTTGCTGAAACTCTCCAGCGGCAACCTATTTGCTGTGGGCCATTCCCTCAAGACAGAGGTGTTGCCACGATTATAGCAAGGCTTCAGATTCCAGCTTCTTACGGTCATCATAGTCCGCGGTGCCTCTCAGATATCCCCATGAATGCCACATCTTCTTTAAACAGTGGGTGAGAAACTTGACACAGAAAAAGTGACTTATCCAATTCCACATTGAAGGCTTGGGCTAGAACCCAGGTGTCCAGATTCATAACCAGCAGTGTCCCCACTGCACCATTTTGAATGCTTTATTCTTGACTGAATTCATCCAAACCCATAGAAATATGCAAGTAATATCTAGAAGGCAGAAGAAGGATGGAGAAATATTGATCTTTAAAACACAAAGGCGTTAGGTGGAAACACTGCGTCATCCAAGGAATGAGTTTTCCCTTTGAGCCAAAGTTACTTTAGTTCTTTTGAGTCTAACGCCTGTTGTGTCAGGATAGGGCTGCGCTCCCTAAGAGGTATGTTAATGTCTTCAGAAGGTGACTTCTTTCTGGATGCTTTTTTAAAGGTTTTTGATGCCACCAATACAACAAAGGAGAGAAGAGGAATGATTTTAAACTTTGCCAAAGAGAACAGATTCAAGGTCAGTATGTGTCAGACTTATTTCTTGCATGAACGTATGGTCCCCATTATCATACTAGCTGAGTACTGCCATACTACCACACTCACTTCTTTATTCTAAGAACACCCACGGGAGGTAGACAGGTGGCATTAGTCCCATTTTAGAGGTAGGGAACCAAGGTGAAGTGACTTGTCCGAGATTGGGGAAATCTGTGGTGGAGAAAAGGAATTATACCCAGCTCTGCTGAGTCTCAGGCTAGTTATAAAATTCCCACACTGCCAAGATCCCTAGCCAAGAGGGATAGAGGAGATGAGGTAGCGAGGAGGGAAACATGCATACTTTTTCACGCAGACTTGCATGGGCTGGTGGGAACAGGGCTGGATGTGATACACTTCACACGTTTCATCTGTCCTCACCTGGCTTTTGTTTTGCCTTCTAGGTGTTCTTCATCGAATCCGTTTGCAACGACCCCACAGTGGTTGCCACAAATGTCATGGTAAGAATAGAAAGCTGCTGCTTTCTTGTTAAAACCAGAATTCGCACAAATTCACCCCTGCCCCAGCCAGCACTCAGCTTATTCATTCAACAGTGCCATGCCAGGTTATACCGGCTGACGATTTACAATCTGTCTGGGGCAGATATTTTCATGCACTTCTAGCTGAAGTGGCAACACAGAGATATCAGCATAGAGCAGATACGTTCAGTCTCTTCAGAGCTCTGCAGATCCTTATACTTTTAATGCATTAATGGGTAACAAGTGCATATGTCATACACATGTATTTGACAATAAGAGCCTAAAAATCTCACTGGCAGACCCTGACACTTAAGTCCCCAGGCAACCAAAGTGCCTTTGAAAACAGCACTCATGTGCATCTGTTGTAAAAGCAGCCCCACAAGGCTTATTTCCTCATCACTATGCAACTTTCTTGACAAAAAGGTGTACTTTGTCTTATAGCTCCTCGGTCATATGAGGAGACCTGTTGGCTGTTAGTCGTCAGAGCTAATAGGTACTTCTTGATTTACCTGTACATTTCACTGTAATGCACTTTCCTCCATCTGGCACTCTTCCAGCCTTATCAAAACTTTCCCAATCGTTTAGTGTCTGGAGTGGCACTGGCTTGGCAGGGTGCCTTAAGTTCAACAGATGTTAGTTCCTTGGGCAGGTTTTCTAGGAGTGCTGGGGTTTCTGAGATAGCTGCATCCTATGTTAGTGTCTTGCACCTTTTACCCCTTTGTATAGAACTTCCTTACTGGTGCCGTTCAACTAGTTAATGATTAAGGGTCTGGGAGGCATGACTTATGAGGAAAGGCTGAAAGAACTAGGGGTATTTAGTCTGGAGAAGAGAAGTGAAGATTTGGTAACAGTCTTCAGATACCTGAAAGGTGATTGTTAGAGAAGATGGAGATGGGCTTTTCTCTGGGGCTATAGGGGACAGGACTAAGGTGCAGGGGAAATATAGGTTGGAGATTAGGAGGTACTTAGGTTACCTAGAGAAACTGTGGAATCTCCACCTTGGAAGTTTTCCAGAGCAGATTGGCACTTTGTCCCCGATGAAGGCATCCAAGCCATCTTGCCTTGAGCTTGGGACTGGACTAAATGACCTGATGAGGTTCCTTCCTACCCTACTTTCCTATAATGTTATGAAACGCATGGCTTTGAGTTGCATGTGAGGCTGCACTTGGATGGTATGCAGGAGGGTGCATCTGGCTACCTTTCTACAAGTGCAGCTCCCAGTGATTTCACGGGGGAAGGTAGTATTTGCATTCCCGAGCCAGACCTTCTCCCTCTGCTTTAAAAAAAATAGCTATAAGAAAACCCCTAGTTGGATAATCTCCAAGTCAGATAATACCTTAATGGAGCCAAAACTAAACCTGGATACATACAACTTTCCTTTGTGCAGGATGTTGAACAGATGTTTTCTAGATGCTATACAAGGAAACAAAGCAGAGCCATAACAAAAGGCCCCAATCCTGCATACGCACTTAACTCACACGAGTTATCCCATTGCCTTTGATGTCACTTGTAAAGTTATTAGTGTGTGGAAATGTCTTTAGGGAGCAGGACTTTGACATGATTTCTGCCAGCCATTTATAATGACTTTCTCCTCCCCCTCTTCCCTCCCTGGCATTATCTTTTATAACTGCCAAATGCCAACTGTGAATGACCCAGCCAATGACTCTAGGAATAACTTTGATACCCGATATTGAAACAATCTGATTAGTCTAAATCTGTAGCCTGGTTGGAGACTGTCTGCACTGAAAGCTTTCTAAAGACTTATTGATTTGCTTTCTCTATTGCTGCAGGAAGTTAAATTGTCCAGCCCAGATTACAGGGACTGTAACTCAACTGATGCCATGGAGGACTTTATGAAGAGAATCAATTGTTACCAGTCCAGCTACCAGCCACTTGACCCAGATGACTATGACCGGTAAGAAGCTTTGCTGACTTCGAAATAGGCTGCTTTTAAAGGCCTTTTGTCCTCAGAGAAAAGAGTAATAAAGAGCTCAGTTGGAAGAGGTGAATGTGCTAGAATAAAATTTGTGTAAGCCTCCAATCCTCACGGTAAATTCAAACTCTTTTTTGAAGACTGAGAAGGTCTGACTTTTCACTGCCTTTTGTGAAGCATCTTGCTGATTTTCTTGAGATTTTTCTGCCTGTTTGCAGACTGCAGAGCTTCAGCACCGCAGCTGAGCTTTTGGGTGCTGCTTTGAACCTTATGACACTATTGTATTGAAGGTGTCTATGGATGGGATAGGGACAGGGTCCTAAACCTGGGTCACCACCTCCCCAACTAGTACATCCTCTCACCAGAACCTTGCCACCCTAAGCGCCTCCAGACACGGTCTGTCCTTGTCTGCAGGGTTGCAGTATTTACCTTCTGTACTTGTTCACGAGTAAGTCCTGGGTCCTGTGACATCCAGTCTGGGGACTGGACAGCCTGCCCTCTGACCCGTCAGAAGTACTGTGGTCACTAGCCATGTGCTCTAGGCCTCGGCTGTCTCCAGCTTTGGGAACCACATGAAGGAATGCTGCCTCATTCCCGATCTCATCTTGTAGCACTAAAAAAAGAGATTAAATTGATCCATGATTTAGGTAGAGAGCACAATCCACTACAAGGCATGGTGAGATTAAAATCCACATTGACACTACCTAGGTAAAGGGGGAAGTCATGAAATCTCTCTCGACAACAAATCTTTTTAACACTGGGATTATATCCTGACCAAGATGTTTCACAAGCCAGGCTTTGAGATTTTGTTCGTGGAATTGTCCCCAGTTCGTGTCACCACTGATCCTTGCCATGATTTCCGTAGGGATCTCTCTCTGATCAAAGTGATCGACGTGGGGCGGAGGTTCCTGGTGAACAGGGTCCAGGATCACATCCAGAGCAGAATCGTCTACTACTTAATGAACATCCATGTCCAGCCCCGCACCATTTACCTCTGCCGACACGGCGAGAGTGAATTCAACCTCAAGGGGCAAATAGGGGGTGACTCGGGACTCTCCAACAGGGGCAAGAAGGTAAGGGGAAAAATCCCTCTCGAGTGGGTGTAACTTGGCTAGGCACATTGGCTGTGTACTATGCTGTGCATGAGACATACTGCCTGTGCTCTCTGGGTGGGTCTTGGTGCTGCATATGTGTCCTTTTCTGAAAGCAGCAGGCCTTCTGGTATATAAACAAGCACTTGTGAATCTGGCAGCAGATGGCAAGGACAGGATGCAGATCACTAACCCCTCTCTTGCTCTACCTTCTACAGTTTTCCATTTCACTGAAAAAATTTGTTGAGGAGCAGAACCTGAAGGACCTCAAAGTCTGGACCAGCCAGATGAAAAGGACGATCCAAACAGCAGAAGCCCTCAAGTTGCCCTATGAGCAGTGGAAGGCACTCAATGAAATCGATGCGGTGAGCATCTTAATTGCCTTACTTGCGACTAATTCCCACTGTCCGTGTGTTAAAGCATCAGCCTTTTGCCTCTGCCCAAATGTGGTGATGGAGGCAAGGCTTTAGGAGTCACCTCCCCAGTCTAACACATCATTGCTTGCTTTGGAGAGGCTGTTTATGTCCATGAGAGCCTTTGCTGCAAGAGCAGAGGAGGATGAGGACTGAAGTACCCAGGTAGCACTGGGATGGGGAAGCTGACTCAATGCCCAGCTCTGGACGGTGCCGGTACTGAGCTTTCACAAGCAGTGAAATTTCCCATGCCTGGAATGGCAAGGAAGCAGAAAGAAGGACTATTGTCTCCCAGTCTGGTTTTGAAGGGTGAACGCAGTTCTCAGGTTAAATCGAGCAGAAGTGCTGGAGCCGCATGCTTCCTGGCTTCCCTTTTCTGCTTCTGATCTTGGCTCTGGATTACATGGAAGCTGCCAAATTGCTCAGTAACTTTGACCTCAGACCTACCAGATTAAAACTGCTGCAACCCAGTGCCACTGCAGAGCCGATTACTTAGATTGCTAAAGTGCTAGTTTCGCTCTTCAGGCTGGAAAAGTGTTTGTTTCAAGGCCCCTTGGCACCTGCTGTAACGGGAACCTGCAGCTCTCTCATATAGAGTTCAGTAAATAACTCCAGTGGCATCTTGTTTTTTCAGGGTGTATGTGAAGAGATGACTTATGAAGAAATCAAGGAACAGTATCCAGAAGAATTTGCCTTGCGGGATCAGGACAAATATTACTACCGCTACCCTTCTGGAGAGGTAGGTCTGTAGGAAACCCTCCCAGACTTGACTAACAAAACACCCCATGTCTTCCTGTAGTAACTCTAGAGCTCTTCGGCTTTCCATCCAACCCAGCGGGCAGAGAAGATGGGGCAGCATTTCTGAGAGTCAAAGCAGAAGTTAGATGTGCGCACAGACTCCTCTGGGCTCTTGTAAAATTATTCTAGGAGTCTAGTACCTTAATCAAAGTCATTCCATTCATTAGGACCACTCGAAGGGTGAGTGGGATGGAAGAAAAGTCATTAGAATCTAGTTGTATAGCGAACCTGAACATCTTTCATAGGGAAGGAGTTCGCTTTACTTCCCTTCTCTAGTTCCCTCTGGCCAAGTGGCTGGGAGAATGAGCTGGTCAGACATTTTTGGGGAGCGATATATCAATTGGAGCAAGCGTTGAGTTCAGTTGGCTTATTTATGGCTTAAGTATGAGCCAAATAAACTCCTGGGGAACACAAAATCTTTGTTGGTACTCAAGCTTACTTCACATGCATAGTTATTTCTCATGGATGACCGATACTCAACCTGGGTTTCTGAACTTCTCACTAGACACCGCTCTTGGTTTCGTCTGCGCGGTAGAGTCCTTGGAGATCTCTCGGATGATTCAGGCCTCCAGAGCTTAAAATGTCTCATAAGAAAGCAAACTTCAGAGATGTAGTGATTCATTATGCTTAATAAACCCTTCATGCTTGCAGTGCCAATGCAGAATGTTGTTAGTTGCCTAGTCACAAGAAGCAGCCCAGACTTCAAGAGGTCTGTGGGAGAGAAGTGTAGCTTGGTCTAAATTAGGATCCCTGCTGGCAAACCAAAATGAAGACTGTTTTTGAGTCCTGAGAGACCCTGGCTCTGCCCTCTGTGTTTATCTCCAGTATCTCTCTCTGTTCTGCAGTCCTACCAAGATCTAGTGCAGCGCCTGGAACCGGTCATCATGGAGCTGGAGAGGCAGGAGAATGTCCTAGTGATCTGTCACCAGGCGGTGATGCGGTGTCTCCTGGCTTACTTCCTAGACAAGAGCGCAGGTACGTTGCTTCTGGGAAAGGGAATGGGGTCCTTTGCAGCAGCTCTTATAAACCGATTGGAAGAAAATAGCATGTCCTGTGGCCCAAACCCTGCAGACACTCAGTGTTTTAAACAGTTTTATCACCTGAATCCCGGCTATGTCATGGGATGAGCAATTCAGCCCACCAACTGCTGGCCTCTACTCCAGCTTGTGGGCTGCTGCAGTGTTATTCCTCCAAGTTTGCTTTGAGAGACTAATTGTCCTGTCCCCCCACTGTTGAGGAGAGATGCTTGGCCTCCCAGTCGGATCCTGCCAACATGGGATGTTGGGCTGGCTGAGAGCGCAGCCCCAGGCAGGCGCTGGCTTTGTCCGTGTAGATATGGCGGAGGCAGCGTTGCAGTTTGCATGAAGGGAAGAGCTGCCCCGCCAGCCCCTGCAGCTGGGGCAAAGCTCAGCCCCTTGGAAAATGGATTATGCTGCCCATCCCATTGATAACCCACCTGTTGTTTCTGCAGCTGAAATGCCCTACCTGAAATGTCCCCTCCACACCGTGCTGAAGCTGACCCCCGTGGCATATGGTAAGTGACCCACACTTCCTTGACACATCAGCTTGAACATTTCAGTGAAGCATTTACTGGTAGTTGCATCCTATTTAAAAATTAAGCTGGAAGCCCCGATGGGGAAGCAGGACCTGCACCTTTGAGTGTGCACAGTGCCTTGCACAGTGGTGTCCTGATCCTGGCTGGGGTGGTTGGGCCCTACTATCATACAAACCCTACCAGAACTTGTGTTGGCCACCCCTTCATTTGTTGTTTTCCTCCCCTCTCCAGGCTGCCGGGTTGAGTCCATCTGTCTGAACGTTGAAGCAGTGAACACTCACAGAGAACGGTCAGAGGTGAGTGGCGCTTTCGCTTCCCTCCCTGCCTTCTCCTAATGGCAACAAGGACCTCTGGAGAGGTTGCAGAGGGGTGGGGGAGTCGTTTAAGTGGCACTTGCTGCGAAGAGCAAGAACAGTAAGCAGCATGTTGCTCTGAATGTTGGAAAAGACAGGTTGTCACATCCACTGCAAACACTTTCCCCAGATCCTTAACCAAAGCCCAGTGAGGCCAGTGAAAAGTTTCTCTTTGGGGCCTTAACGATATCTAGCTTTTTCATAGAACTTTTCAAAGTGCTTTACAAGGCCGATGGTATCCTTATCCCTGAGGAACAGGGAGAGGCATTGGCTTCTGGAAATCTCAATTCTGTCTTCACTGGTCTTGGAGATTTCTAGCCAGTGCTGGACCTCCTCTTTGGTCTTTGGATCACCCCTGAATGACTATAATGGAAATTGAAGCAGGCAGATTGCCGAGGCCAGCAGCGCAAGTGATAAAAGTAAGAGGAGAAGAAGGCAGGGAATGACTACAACAGTTTTGTAGTCAGGGATGGGTTCATTGGGTTAGAGGATGTTAGAGGAATGGGATTATCTCCTGATGGGGGAGACTAGTTTATCTGGTGTTGTGGTGCTCTTGAGCCTGGTAAGCCAAACAGATTGAAGTCTGGCCACTGTGTGGATGGAAGACTCCCTTCTTCCCCGCCCCCCGCCAAAATATTGATATATAGGTGCTACAGGAAGTAGTGCTGGTTATTTAGACAGCACACTTCCTCCGAGTTGGTACCAAAGGTGGCACGCTCAGGCTTGGTGGTTTGGGATCTTCTGGGTGAGACATACTTCAGTCTGCAGGTAGTTAATATATCCCGTCATACTCTTTTGTAGCGGCAATCTTTGCCCACTTGGGCTGGTGAGACAGTCTCTCTCTGAGTTGCCCACGTTGGGGTGGCTTTTCCTTTCTTTTTCACTCTCCGGCTGACACCGGATACAGCGTTGTGAGATGTCAGCCTTCTCCTAGATGCAGCTGCACGTTCCTCTTTTTGTAGCGTATGCCGAGTGCTTTTGAGTCCTCTGAAAGCTGCTGCAGGAAACTCCACAATTAGACTTGCAGTGAGAAGATGAAGCTTAGGCCACTGTGTAGTGCTCGGGTTGGGCTCCTGGTAGCTGTCCTGCTATTTCACACCAGGGAGCACAAACCTCTTGCTGTTGTGCTCCGCTGGCTGCTCTAATTGCTGCATGTTTCTCTGTAGCTAGATGAGTTCATTCTGTTCCTCTTGGTTTTTATGCTCCCTGCTCAACTAACTCCTTGGGTCAAAAGGAGAGACTTTGAGAAGGAGACTGAAGGGCTTTCTTCTTCACTCTGGCCTACACTATATAGTCCTCATCCTTTCAAGCTGTCGCCTTTTTTTGTGTGCGCGCGCATAAAATGAGAGGGGAAGATAGCAGGGGGGAGGGAATTCTCCCTTTGCAATACAGGGTAGTTTGTCTTTTTAATTCTTTTTAGACAGTCTCTCCTGTTCTCTACACTTATTTTTGGTGACCAGAGATACAAATGCATCAACTGAGAGCTTTGTTTGTAGTTGCTGTTAATCGGGGGTGGGGGGAGGAAGAGAGGGCAATTTTTAAAATGGCTTTTTTCGTAACTGTCGCCTTCTTCCTTTTTTGTCTTTGTCTCGCTTTAATTTAGGAAGCAAAGAAGGGACCTAACCCGCTCATGAGACGCAATAGTGTTACCCCTCTAGCAAGCCCAGAACCCACCAAAAAACCTCGCATCAACAGCTTTGAGGAGCATGTGGCTTCTTCTTCTGCCGCCCTGCCAGTCTGTATGCCCCAGGAGGTGCCCACCCAGCTGCCTGGACAAGTTAGTTGAATTCTTTTCCTTGGTGTTGGTGTTGGTGTTGTTGTCCTCCTTGTGTTGCTTCTAAATATAGGGACTGGTCTTTATTGTGCTGCTATGAGCTACCTTTTTCATCACAGTGTGCCATCCACTGCTGTCCCTTGCATTTAAAAGCATCCACTGAACAATAGTTGTCAAACGCCTTGGGTTTTGTAGCCTTTGCATAGTTTAGAAAGCTCCAGGCCGAAAGGAGCAGCTGTGTTGGTCGACATTCATGTTCCTCTCCTGCCCTGTCTTGAATCTCAGTCACCGGACATCTGCTGCTGTGTAGAAGCCTAGGGCTAGCTTGTCTACCTCCGTCTAGATCATCCATTTAAACCCTCCCATCCCTCCTTCTCTGGGCTCCCGCTGTTTCTTTATATGGCAAGAATTTAACTGTAGGTATTGCAATAAAGAAATAATTCTTGACACCATCCTCTTGCTATAACTGCTTCCCTGCTCTCCCTACGTTTACAATAAAAACAGTCTAGCAAAGAGTGAGACAATAACATGACCTAAATTGTCATTTTGAGCAGAGCCCAGCCGAGGCTGATTTTTAAACTGGCTTGGACTATAATTATGTTGCCGCCTGGCAAGAATTAGCTGCTGGGCTTGGTTACTGAAAGCCCTGGGGCACTTCTGGAGTGGGCAGGAGAGCCTTGAAGCACTCCTCCAGGGACATTTCTTGATTCCCCTCCACCCCACAGTAATAGAAACTCCTCTGAGTCATCTCCCTCAACCATGTGAAATTCTGGACGAGTGCCCTATACAGGCCTTTTAAAGACAGCCTCAATTATACATGAGCTTCTCCCTTCTGTCCCCGAGACGGGACAGGTGGTAGGCTTATACTAGCACCTAGCCATGCTTCCTTTTCCCTTTGGTCCATGTTAACTTCTTTGTGTCCTCTCCTCTGTCTTATAGGTCAGCCCTAGAAGTAGCTTTAGGAAAGGCCAGCACGCTTATGCTCTCCTGAACTGGCATGAACGGCTGGAGGTCCTGTTTGGTGGCTGCTTTGTATTGACACTTAGTTCTCAACTAGTGCTAGCAGGGGTGCTAATGGCGCTTCCAGCTTTCGGGGTCCTTTATGCTAGTGATCCAGCTGATTAGGATCCGAATTGTTCTTTGTTTCGTTGCCTCTTGCTGACTTCAGATGACTCCCTCCCTCCTCGCACTGCATTACTGACGCTTCTCTTTCCATTCTCTCTCTCTCTTTCTCTACAGCCTTTACTAGGGAAGGCATGTCTGTAAGTATCTTCTCATGAGTTTCCCCCTCCCTCTTTCTGTACCTCTTTCAATCCCACTGGCTATCTTGTTGTTGGGGGGTTGTGAAAGTAGACAGAGATGCAAACTTTAATTCTGTGGTTTCTGAGTTGTTCTTTACACGGGGGGAATTTCTGTATCTTGACGCTGCCCCGGTACTGTTTGTTCAAGTGCACGCACATCTTGCATTAAACCTCTGTAGTCCGTCCTCTGTTGAGATGAGAAGCATGCCTTTTGCCTCCTAATCTCTCCCTCCCTTGCTTGCTCTTTTTCCAACTGTTTGGTCAATGGGATTGCAGCCTGCTAAGGTTTCTCATCTGTATTTGCACCTCCTACTGTAGACCTGGTTTGTCCTTTCTGTTGGCTATGTGGCTTATTGCGGCCAGTTTGGCATTTAACTAGATGGAGGAAAAAGGGGTATCTTTCTAGCTAGAAGGTGATGCAGATTATCTGCTTCAGCCATCCTTTGAGGGAGAATTGTCTATTGGGAGCTAGACATCCTGGTTGAAGAGCTGTATGCTTAGCTCATGGAGATGCTTCCCAAAACCAGTTTTTTGGCTCCTTTTTAGAGTGTGATGGGTGGAGGGGGTTGGACCGAAGAGGCTTCCTGGGAAGGCTTTGTAAAAAGTGACCGGCTTCAGGTCGCTCCAGCACTCCACATCTTGTGTCCCAAGGAAGAGTGGTTGGAGTTGGACCGATTGCCGTCAGGTCCTGGTATCCATCCACTTGGGGACCAAGGTTTTTTGGGCACAGTGCATTCAGGTTGGCTTGGCATGAGTGGACAATTGCATAGTCGAGACCATGCTACTTTTGCAGGTTTTTATACCTGAATATTTAACCATTGTCCCTACGTCCTGCAGTACTCCTGGCTGTAAGTGCTCTGGGTTGTTGCTACATTATGCTGGAGGATCCCTACTTATTAAATAAGAACAAAGCCGGTTCAGTATAAAGGGGAAGCTTCCTTGTTTTACCAGTGTCAGATTTCTGGCTCAAAGAAACAGCAGGAGCATAAGCCGTGTTGGAGTCTTCTCCTGTTTCTTCTTTAAAACTCGTGGGTTTTCTAGATCTGGTGCAAAATAACAACAGTGGAGTAGTCAGCAGGCACCTAATTGGCACATGCTGGTTGTAGGTAACCAGGGAACAGGCACCACGTGATGGCACTTGGGGATCGGCTTGCTCTCCGAAGCACAGTCTGGATCAGGTCAATACGCAGCTCTGCCCTTATTTGTTTCACGGGCTAAAGATGCCAGGATTTGCTGTTAGCTGAGGCAGCCCGCCGCCGCCGCAACATACTGATTGAACTTCATTTGAATTCTTCCCATCTCCTCCTCACCTTGCGACCACTTTGGAAAGGGGGCCTGACTAACAGCTTCTGTATTTGGAGGGCAGGTGGGAATGGGTCAGATCAGTGAGAGGTCAGAAAAGTCGTGTCTGGGTCTTGTTTTCGGGGGTGCTCAGGTCTTGCATTAAAGGCTGAGCATAGGAGTCTTCCTCTTTTTTTTGTTTTTTTATGTTGGATCTGTTTGGCATGGCATGCATGGCTGCTCTGTGCTGTCCTCACTGTTCGTGGGCACCGGGTCTGTAAGAAAACGTATTCCTGGAAGAGAGAGGCCTTTAGCTGTGTGACGCTGGCTGAGCCTCACATAATTGTTCCCTCCAGGGCAGAGGTTTGCAGCCCTTTGGAAACAGCTGTGTCAGGTTGCCAGGCAAAAAAACTCAGAGGACCGGCTGGTTCAACAATTCCCATGGCTTTCCCCAGCTCTTGAGACTTAAAATTTAGGGCAGGCCAGACTACTATGGTTTGGAGCTTGGCCGGGTGGTAGCATTTACATATATCTAGCTCAGATGCTTATCACTGAAGGTAGACGAGACAGATGATCCTGCCTTGAGCAGTGGTTGGGTATGAGGTCCCCTCTGATTTTGACAGTAACCTAAAATATCCCCGTCAAATACAAGGGGAAGCCTTGAGTGTCTAAGCTAATGTCACATGCATGTTCTTTGAGTCCTCTTAATGCGTGTGTTAGCCTGCTATCTGCCTTCCAATATATAACATGGACACCTCTTGATAGGCATCTCCCGAGGATGTCAGCTTGCATTGGAGCGTAAGAGTGCGTAATTATGGCTGCCCACCCTTTTTCGGACAGTAGTAACTCGCTCCCTTACTTCCACCCATGAGCTGTAGTGTTTTAGGCAGATCCTGTGCTGATGCCATGTCATACGTGCCATTGAAATCAATTCAACTCCTACCGTTCACAGCAGCTGAGGATCTTAAGAGTGGCCAACTTGCAGAGGGAAGAGTTTGAAGTGTCAGTGTCTGGGAACCACTACCCAACTGAGTACGATAGGAAGGTTTTGGTGATGGTTCAATGGACAACAGAGCAAGGTCACCTGGAAACCAGGCAGGAAATAGAATAAAAATGGGATGGCCATGTTCAACCAGCAACTCAGCAGTGCCCTTGGCTAGGAAAAGCCCAGCACTACTTTGAAAGTGCTCATGCCGATTATCAGAGAGCTTGGGGAAAAACAGCTGTTGCTTTTTTTTTTGTGGTTTTTTTACTCTCTAATGTTGCACGTGAGATTGCGTGGGTTTCTTCTGCATTTACATGTTTTGATCCTAAATGCATGTTTTTGTAAGAAATCCAATTTAAAGTTTTCTCCCCTTCACTTTTCATGCTTAAAGACGAACTGTCTGTCACTTTCTCAAAGTTTTCTCTTTACTAACATTTCCAAGGTAAATGGCTTGATGCATGCTGTGGTTTTTTTCCCCCCTGATCTGACCCTGTCTCATTAGATAAAAAGAGCATCTCAGCTCCCCCCAACCTGCTTTTTGTTTTTTTGCATCTGAGCCCATGTTATAAACCTGATAAGAACTGTGATTTCTGTTAAGGGGTCCGTGTGGCCATATAGATAAAGGGAAAAAAACCCCCCACCTTCTTGTCTTAAGAAACCCCCTAGTCTCTTCCTCCTTTTTTAATGTTCCCTGTGATGTTGTAAATGGGGAAAAACCCTTCCAGTTGTGGTGAACGCTCAGCAACCCCCTGTCTAGCGGGTGCTGTTTTACCTTCTGATGCTCTCTCTGGTGTTCATGTGTTGTCACTGGTGTGTGTATGTAGTTGTTGAGACTGCCAGTGTCCTTGTGATGTATTAGAAAATGCCTTTTTATCAGACCCCAATGTTCACTGGATGTCTTTGCAACAGTGGTTCTGAAGGGATGGGTCTGTAGCTGAGTGGCAGATGGACCCCAGGGGACCCTATTGCTAATAAATGGGGTGTGGCGGGAGGGTTTGCAAAGTTGGTCCTTCTCAGTTTGTAGTCCACTGTGTGGTGGGCTAAGGGAAGCAGAGCCCCCGTGCTCAGCTGAAACAGCCAGTGCACACGCATCTCCCTGTGCCATCTTGCAGGCTGGCACCATAGGGTGGGTGGGTTGAAATACAGGTTATTACTAAGCATCCACAAATGTGCTTGGAGCCCTGGAGAAACAAAGATCCAGGGCCTAAGTCTTCACCCTCTTGGGCCTTATGGCCATTTATGCTTCTGCAAAGTGGGCTGATCTGGAAGTATTATACACCCAGCGAGCATATCGTGCCAGGCCCCCAGGCTCTGCCCTGAGATCTTCCCAATCTCAATAGAGACAGGACACCCATGAGGCTGTGGGGGGCAAGGGGGAGGCATTGGCAGCATATAACCAAACCCTCTGGGGCCGTCTTGTTTTATATTAGCTGCTCCTTCAAGAGGCATTGCGTGACCTGCCTCCCTGCTGGATGCTTTTGCACAGATCCCTTTGTCAACTTTCTCTTGCCCAGTGTTTTTGCATGTTCAAAATGGTGCCATGTCTTTTGCTATCCTTGGTTTTTGGAGTCACGGGACCAATCTAACCCCGGTTCCACTTCTCTCTTTGCAGAACATGAATAACTCGCAGAAGCAATCATGATTTCTTCCGGGGCAGTGAAAGCCGACAAGAGAAGCCAACTCCACTCCATCATCATTTCTGAAGCTTGCTTGTATCGTACTCCTCCATTCGACTCGAGGTCGACCTTTGGCTGCTTCTACCATAGCTGTTCATCTGCGAGCTTGGACTCTCTTGAATGGGGGAGAGAGAGAATTTTGAAATGGGGGGAAAAAAGTGGATTCAACATCAAATCCTTAGGCCATTTTGTGTTTCCTCTCTGGTGTTTGATCTACCGTAGCAAGCTGTACAGTGCTTCTAGTGCACAGAGTTTCCGAACTTTATTTTTGTTTGTAAGCGATGTGATCTCCTCGCAGGGACAACCATCTGGTACCGACTCGTCTTCGGGTTGCGAGGAGGTACACGGATGTTGCAGGGGTAGCAGAGAAATATAGGGAGGACTTTTAAATCTTCTCATCCATCGTATCAGGCTCCTTAGAGACTGGCGGCGGTCGGGAACCTGTGTGCATCCAGTCTCACTGAAGTATGTGACCTGACTGCAGAGAAGGCAGAGGCAATGGTGTGAAATCTTTGGCTGTTGGAGCTGAATTTTGCAGCTGGTTTTAACAAAAAAGAAAAAAAAAGTGGAGGAAAAAAATACACTATCTGTATTACTATGAAAGGGATCTGCAGAGAATGTCAATCTGCTTCTGAAACCAAGTTAAACTGCCTTTAGCATAAAACCCAGCTTCCCTGGTGCTAGCTTAGGAGGTGATTTTTGGCCACTGGCTGACTTGAAGTGGCAGCTCGGCTTGTATTGTGGGAAGCCCTTGAATTATTTTTTTGTTGTTGTTGTTGCTGTTTTGAATTGAATTTGGGTTGTACGGGCGAGGGGTGGGATGGGATGGGGACAGAGACTTATGTGATCGAAGACGCACGTGCTGTATTTATATTTGATTTGTAATCCATCTGCCTGCCCTCCCCTTCTTTAGATGGATTTTGGTCTGCAGGACCAGGGCAGCCTTTTCAAAACTAGGTGTCCACGCTAAGCTAGATGTGTTTTGCAGACACGTGAGTCTGAGGTGTACGGAGGCCTCTCCAAGAGAAGCAAATTCTCTTTGAGGGAGGAGTGCATGTGTAGATCTAGAAGAAGTCACAATACGAGACACTCATTTCTTTTTTTAAAAACCTCTTGGTTTTTGCACTTTGTGTGTGGCAGGAGCATGATTTTATTTTCCTTCTTTCGGCAAATCCTGCCCTTGGCAGGTGAAGCCTAAATCCCCAGATCCTGTCCTGCATGTGCTGAAGAGCTAAGGCCACAAAGCAGTGGATAGGGACAGTATTAACAGGGTGGGTTGAGGTGTGAGCTACTAATTTTTTATAAAGCAGCTGTAGGAACTGGCAGGTGCCCAAGTGTTGTGTGTGCAAATCCCTTCTTGACACACTGGTCAGGTTAAGGGGTTTAAGACCAAGATGAACCACTACTATGTGATCGTGCAGAAGTTTGCGTGCGTGTCTGTGTGCTTGTGTGTTGGTTTTTTTTCCACTGATGGGATTCCTTCCTCACGGCAGAAGCACTGGGGAGACTTTGTTTGAAGCAGTCCTAGCTTTCTCTCCCCTCCACCCAGGACGTACATTTATTTTTATTTTTATTTTTTTTGCTCACCCCTAGGCTTCATTGGGAGCCTACCATGCATCCTGTCCAGCATACAAGCGCAGAGCCAAAAAAAAAAAATCAGAGTAGAGCTCAAGCAATACTTCTTTGTCTTAATGTGCAACTAAATCATATTCCGAAAGGACGCACTGTACAGTCCATTAGCTAAACGGGGGGACCCTCGGCTGGGACCCCTCCAACTTTTGTCCCCGTCTCTCTCTCTTTCCTTTCGTTCTTGCTTCCGGTAACAGCTAGTGATATTTCTGCAGATGGGAGCAGAGAGGCTCTGTTGGAAAGTGGCTACTTTTTTTTTTTGCCGAAGAAAGGCAAACCACAGTGCCTAATGCTTTAGTCTTGCACAGTGCAAATGCTTTGTATGTCTTCAAGCAGCACCAGCCAGAGGCCATCACTGGCTCTCTCCGCTCACATCTGACCATCGATGATATTGGTGACCTGCCCGTGTGAGGTTGCTCGCATACACACATTCTTGTACAGATGAAGTGGAGAAGACACTTTTTTTTAAATAGCCATGTTAAACAGAGTCCCCTTTCCATGCGTCCGTGTGCATGTTTTAATGTCTGCCCTTTAAATTCACTGTTGTTTTTTTTAAGAGACTGATTTTTTTTTTTTTCTTTTTTCTGAGGGCAAGTGTCTTTTATCTTCTGAAACCACTTCCCTAGGAGCGTGACTGTCTCCTCCTGCTATAGGAAGATAACGCAGCAAACGCAAACACGACGTCCACAGAGCCCTCCCCAGTATCAATACAGAAAACATGTGATCTCCAAACAAAATTTTTTTTTTTTTTTTTTTTTTTTTATTTTAACTTTTTTAATCTGGCTAGTCAAAAAGGAGATTTTATTTATGGCTTCAAATTAGCAGATGGATTTCCCCCTCCCCTCCCCTTAGTGGTGGTGAGTTGAGCAAGATGCTGGAAGGAAGAGAAATTCGTTGTCACACCAGAAACACGACAGCAGTCCTCTGATTTCTTGTAAAAAACGCAACTATTGGGCAATGCCATCCTGAGTACAGGAGCAAGTGAGGAAAAAGAATTTGATGAACCACACCAATGACTTGTTTCTTTTTCTTTTTTTCCTTTGTGATACTTGAATTAATTTTTTTATGATTTTGATAGCAAAGTGGTGTTTATTTATTTAATGTATTCTGCAAAGCTTGGAGAGAAGGTTTTTTTTTGGGGAGGATTTTTTTTTTTTTTTTTTTGACTTGTGGTATGTTAAATGTATTCTGTATATATGTCTGGAATAATTGCCTGAGACAAAGCTGTGTCAGCTTAAAAACAGGGTATGCCTTTCAGAAATTTGTATATTTTGCAGTTGCTGGACCAATAAAATATCTTGTTGGAATAGAGACTTGGTATGGTTCTTTACTGGAAAACGGTGGTCTTATTTACCAGTTCCCATCTGTGCCTAATAGATGCTTGCTTGCATCTTAAAATCATAGGAAAGCAGGGCTGGAAGGGATCTCTAGCAGAGGGTGGGGCTAGAAGACCTCTAGAGGCAGGCTCATTCTTATCCAAACCATCCGATACAAATCCTTGTTTAACTTATTACTGATGCTACATAACCCCACCACACAACTACTAAGCATAGCCCCCTAACCTGCCCCAGAGGTAAAGCAAAGGGGCAATAGTAGCAATGTCCTGCTGCTACGAGGGTTGTTAAAATTCACTCGGGAGATCCAGGCATGTTTGCATTTCATACATATAGCCCAAATGCAAAATATGTCTTAAGCAGTGAGAGGTCATATCTAGACCTTACAAAGAAAAGTGAGCTCCCCAGGGTAGGCCTGAAGTCTAAGGGGGTCTACATGGTGGGTTTGCCCATGCTAGCCGGGGTTGGCCACTGCCACTGAATTGCAGCCGCTTCTGAGTCGGAGATTAGCAAACCAGAGGTGTGTTGCACAATTGTGGGGTCAGTGGACATGTCCCTGAAGAAATTCTGCTCTCTTGGAAAACTTGGGGGATCTTCAGCGCCTAAACAGATCAAAACTTTCACACATGGGTATCTACGGTTAGTCGCCAGACAGATACTGAAACACCAAAAGATGATGGGTGATTTTTTTTTTTTCCAAGACCTTGTATATGTCTGCAATCTCTAGTGAACTCTGGAACTCAATTAGCTGCACAGTAAGCATCTCATGAATCTACTCTGCAGTAAATGTCGTGCGTTTACATGTGCACCCCTATTAGGCTGGAGTAAACTGATTAATTCTGCAGCAGGATAGTCATTGTAAATACAAGTTTTTAGTTTTTGGGGGGGGGTTCTTACTCTGTAGCAGCGGGCACTCCCCAAAGAGGGTTTGCCACATCAATTGGAGAAGGAGCAGGGCCATGGTAGCCATCACCAGGGTGGTCAGGCCAGGTGGGAGAACTGTCCCCAGAATGGGGTCTCCTGCTGCCAAGTGCCTGCTTCCCACCTTCCCACCAGGGGTCGGGGACCACACACGGGTCGGTCCCCTAGGCAGCTCGGAAGCATTCCTGGAAAACGGGAAGCACCAGGGAAAGCAGGAACAGGCAAGAGAAATCGGCACCAGACCGGGAGCTCCCACCCCAAAGTGTCCGCTTTCCCACTCTTGGCAGTCGGGCACAAAACTCAGGTTTGGCCCTTAGGTGCTGCGCGGTTCTGCCCCACAAGTTTTTCTGACCGATCTTCTGGAACTAAAGATAGGCATTTAGGGCCCTGAAAACCGTAGGTGCTAGCTGGGGCATGGAGCTGCTCGCTAGCTAGCCCTGCACCGGAGCAACCTTGTGCCCCAGCCAGCCCCTCTGCAGCACAGTAAACCTGGGGACTCCTGTTCAAACGATGTGCCCAGGAGCAATAAGCTCCGGAGTTTATTGCTTCGCATTAACTGCATGAGTAGATGGGCCCACAGTCCCTCAGTAAACTCCCCCCTGTCTTTTTTTACCTTAATGGCAAGGGACGGTGCAGCAGACACGTCCAGTAAAGAAAGAGAGCTGGTAGGAGAAGTGCAAGTAACGGCAGGATGCTTGGCGTACGTGACGGGAGACGGTCCTTTGAGGAACTTGCTGTCTGGACAGATAGTCCCTTATGCTTGAAGGCCGTAAGGAAACTGTAGATACAAAACTGTTACTGGAGCACGGTAAGTGATAACTCTGGGGCTAATGGAGCCACTACAGGGCTCATTTCTCAGCTGCTTAACTAGGGTTTGGGGGTTGACTATTTATAGGGAGGACCTCATGGAAGAGGCCAAAATGAACTATACCCCATGCACTGTAGGTCTTGGCGTCAAGTGGATTAGTAGCCAAAATAGGGCAGATATTTATTCGAACTTCATTAAAATTCTTGCATCTGCTGCTTCTGCAAATGCAGATGAAGGGCTTGGATGTGGTTTTCATTGGAGACGGAAGTGTCGCCAGATCCTCAGCAACTCCAGGAACCAGGGATTGAACAACTGCAACGGTGCCCTCCCCTCCCCTTCCTGGGTGAAAAAAGGGCCGATGTTAGATCCTACTCCTTGGCTTTGTATGAAATGATTTTCTTTGGCACTTTGCACTCAGCTGTAGCTGCCTAACAGTGGGATGGGGGGCCACTTAGGACCATCGCCAACGCATAAGAGCTACTTACATATTACTTGCCGAAGGGGCAGTTGAATATTCATAGCCCTGAGCAAACTTCACAGCTGGTTTCTATTTGCACGAAGTCCAGAGAGGCTTGCAACCAGTTTGGTGCTGGCTTATCTCTAGCTCTCACCCCTCTGGCTGATGAAGCGTGGGCCCTCACGTGCCTTCAGCCTGGCCAGCTCCATAAAGGAGCTATTGCTGGTTGGGTCAATCCAGGTCAGCCCAGGCTCATCTCCTCCTCCTCTGGGCTAAAGCAGTTCTTGCCCTCCTCTTTCTGAGCAGGCTGATCTGCCAGTCTGGCGTGCTTTGCCCTTAATTGAAATAAATGAGCTGCTGCATATTTAACTGGTATTTTATACAACATGCTCCTCATCCCATGAGGCAGTCCAAACAAAACCACGTGTGCCTGCAGGCCTCGGACCGGCTTTTTAGATCTACCACAACACTGAGTCACTTCCCCTGTAGCTCTGTCCCCATGTAGCATGGAGATGATGGATTTAGTCCCCCACCCCCTGCTGCCTTCATGGACAGCTGTTGGGTCCCCCCTCGTTGACCCTCCTTTGGGCTTGGGTGGGATGGTCTACTGCACTCTCCTCCTCCCCATAGTACACACAGGGCACATCTACACCACAGCATGTCTTGGCCAGGAAGGCCTCAAGCACAATATACAGATTTGCTCCCCTGCACAGACCTCAAATGCAGCAATATGCTGGTGAGGACTTGCCGGAGTCCCGCTGTGGCTGTTCTCATGCAGGCCAGAAATGAATGCCTGAGAGCAGCTGCTTTGGGAGGTCCTGGAGTAGCCTCAGCCACGTCTTTGTGCCTTTAGTCCTGGGTGGCCTCATCCACTGCCTCACACATCTCCAGACCATGAAGCTGCTGCAGAACGAACATGGTCTTTGTCTCCTGCAGGTTGAGTGCTGCATGGACACGCCAGTGATGTGCATGGGGCTGTTCCCACTTTTCAGAGCTCTTGTTTCAGACCCTGCTGCTACAACTATGCTCAACCCCTTTTCTACTGTTTTCTGCCTCTCTGGAGGGCAGCTTATAGCCTCAGTGAGACCCCCGAGCCTGATGTGATCACCCGATTTGAGGAGTGACAGGGGGTCTCATTGTCCTGCCTTGTACTTTCACCCAGGTCTACTTTGCGTCGCACAAGCTTCCCCTTCCTACAAGCTCGTGTCCTGGGTTCATAGAAGCACAGAAAATGAGGGGTGGAAGAAACCTCAGGAGGTCACATCTAGTCCAAAGCAGGACCAGCCCCAACTACATCATCCTAGCCAAGGCTTTGTCTAGCTGGGTCTTAAAAGCCTCCAAGGATGGAGAGTCCACCACCTCTCTGGGTAACCTAATCCAGTATTTTACTACCTTCCTAGTGAGAAAATTCTTCCTAATATCCAACCTCAATCTCCCTTGCTGCAACTTGAGCCCATTGCTCCTTGTTCTGCCATCTGCCCCCACTGAGGACAGTCCAGCTCCATCCTCTCTGCAACCTCCCTTGAGGGAGTTGATTTATGGAGGAAAGACTGAGGGAACTGGACTTATTTAGTCTATTGAGAGGGATTTAATAGCAGCCTTCATGTCCCCCAGATACCTAACCATTTTTGTTGCCCTTCACTGGACTCTCTCCAATGTGTCCACATCCTTTCTGTAGTGGGGGGCCCAAAACTGGACACAGGACTCCAGATGTGGCCTCCCCAGTGCTGAATAGAGGGGAAGAATCACTTCCCTGGACCTCTTCTACCAATGCAGCCCATATATATATATTGACCACCTTTCACAGAAGTAGGACATGGGCTGCCATGGTCCCCCTGCTTTACCTGTGGCAGGTTAGGACGCTAGGCCTGTGTTGCGTCCAGATTGATGGTAGGCTTATGTAGAGTTTAGGTTATGGTTGTATGGGATGGCTTGGATAGGGATGATCCTGCCTCAGAAAGGGGGTGGACTAGATGACCTCTGGAGGTCTCTTCCAGCCCAACTTCTTTATGGTTGTAAGTCAATAGAGCCGTGATTTACATGAGCTGAAGAGCGGCTTTGACCCCTGCCTCCCAGCCCTGCACTGCCTCATCCCAGTTACTGCTGAAGATGTCTGGGCCAGTGGAGCCTCCTCACCAATTCCCCAAACAAGCACAACGAGGAAGTAGGCCAGCCAGTCATGATGGAGGGCACTAGACAGCCACTCCTGAATCCTAGACGTGGATGGAAAATGGGACTACCTGTCAGGCTAATGAACAAACAGCGGTGGTGGAGACGCAGGTTTCTGGTCACCCACGTGGACACAACACAGTGTCTCTCCCTCCTTCCCCCCCTAATGAAGAACACCCTTCAGGTCATTGATGCAGAGCATCTCTGGAGTATAGGAACATGGTTTCCTTCTTGGGTCAGTATCCAGATTTGGGATGCTTCTCCAGGCTCTTCCAAAACCTGTGAAGATGGCCACTCTCACCCTGCTCCCAGGCTGGGGTGACAACATTTTAAGTAGTGTTTTCAAGTCCTTACGGTCTTTGATCTCCATAATTCTTCTTGACATCGTAGATGAATGAGAGCAAACAGCTTTCTTCAGTGCCCCATTGCAAAAGCCACCACCCTTCTTGGGGCCATACAGGTCTTAGGCTGTAAAGCTATTGCAGCACGGTTCAGATCGATGGATCTGCTCTGGATTTACACCAACGATGAGTAACAGGAGTGCAATGTCTCACCCAACACTTCTTGGGACAGGGCCTCAGCTGGCCCATCATCACTGAAGTGTATTGAGTGCCAATG